CAGGGGTCCTCAAACTTTTTAAACAGGGGGCCAGTTCACTGTCCCTCAGACCGTTGGAGGGCCGGACTATAGTTTAAAAAAAAACTATGAACAAATTCCTATGCACACCGCACATATCTTATTTTGAAGTAAAAAAACAAAACGGGAACAAATACACTATTTGTATTTGCATGTGGCCCGCGGGCCGTAGTTTGAGGACCCCTGCTTTAAATCAATGGAAAAATATCCTCAGGCCCTAACCGGTTTGGCTCAGTGGGCAGAGCGTCGGCCTGCGGACTCAAGGGTCCCGGGTTCGATTCTGGTCAAGGGCATGTACCTTGGCTGCGGGCACATACCCGGTGGGGAGTGTGCAGGAGGCGGCTGATCGAGGTTTCTAACTCTCTATCCCTCTCCCTTCCTCTCTGTAAAAAATCAATAAAATATATTTTTTAAAAAAACTGTAAAAATGGATAAAACCAGGCAGCAGGCCAGATGGGGACCCCTAGTCCCCAGGCAGTCTCCCCCCAACCCCCCAACCCCAGGGCCCGTCTTCCCTCCATCACAGGCTGTGGCTATGGGTGTAGCTGGGGTTGGGGTGTCCCTGGCTTCTCGCACTGACCTCCCTCCCATCTCCCGGGTTTTCACACCCACGTGTTGCTTTGAAAACCTCCCCCAGCGGCCAACGCACGCCAGCCGCCAGCCCAGCCGGGGGTCCCCCAATTCCACCTGCTCCCAACGCCTGTCCTGGGCCCCCTCTGAGATCTGCTGGGACCCAGTCTGCGGACCTCCCTCTGACGCCCACCTCCGGGCAGGAGTTGGGGGGACGTGCATTTCCCCCCAGGTTTCCGGGACGGGTCTGTGACCCCCAGAGCGAGATCTAGATTCTGTACAGCAGAGATCTTCAAACTGGGGGGCGGGCGCGGGTCTGCAGGGGAACATAAAGGAATTCCAGGGGATTCCGCACAGACTGGGGGTCCCTTTCCAGGCCCTTGACTTCCGGGAAAGCGCCCGGAGGTGGGGGACCTCTCCTTCCATTGGCCCTAAATCTGAACTCGGGGGGCAGCAAACACAAAACGGCTCACGGTGACAGATCTAGGCTGGGTGAGTTCTTTTTTTAAAAAATGTGTTTTATTGATTTTTTACAGAGAGGAAGGGAGAGGGATAGAGAGTTAGAAACATCAATGAGAGAGAAACATCGATCAGCTGCCTCCTGCACGCCCCCCACCGGGGATGTGCCCGCAACCCAGGTACGTGCCCTTGACCGGAATCGAACCCGGGACCCTTCAGTCCACAGGCCGACGCGCTACCCACTGAGCCACACCGGCCGGGGCTGGGTCAGTTCCTGAAGGAAGCTGATTTTCAGGAGGGAGGACCTCATGGGGTGTCAGCTGACGGGGTCCCCGGGAGCAGGGCCGAGTGGTTAGGGCGCCATGTGACTTGGGCGGAGTGAGGAATGCCAGGCATTGAGCAACGCCGTTCTAAAAAGGGCTTTGCCGAGGCGGGAGGTGGTGGGTGGGACGGAATCCACCAGGGACCGTGTATGCACGTAGGTACGGCCCCTGGAGGCAGACTGTAGGGAGGTGAGGGCCTGGGGT